AAATACATAATGTTTTTGTAATGAAAGTTGAAGATGTCTAAATCTTAAAGAATAATTCATGTATCAACAATTTGCTTGTAAGTTAAGAATTAATTTATTATCAATTTGTCATAATAACTAATAATGGAAATTAAAAAAAAAAAAAAAAAGCATTCTTTCCAATTTCCTCACCTCCTACTTTCTAATTTTCGGTTCCACGTGTACCGATATAAATACTATGCGAGAGATTAAAAAAAAAATCTAGGGATATAATTGGCTGATAAAAGGTAAGTCATCGTAGGTCCCCAAACATCTGATTCCAATCTTTGCAGCCTCAGGCATCAATAGCCAGCTTTCTGGACTAGGTCTTAGAGTGCCGTACTCACCTACCCTTAACTTCCACGTTTGCACCATCTCTAACCGCTCGTTATCAATCCAACGGTTGCCTTTGAAACACCGCTGATTCCGTTGACTCCCTCCACCGTTTATGTGAGGAATTGTCTCAAACGTCAATATTGACTAAATTGCCCTTACACTTATTACTTTTTTCCTCATTTAAATTTTAACTACACTTTTTTCACCCAAATTTTTTTTTTAAAGTGTCCGTCCACTTACTATATATATAAAAAATGTTGATAAATTTATTAATTTTATTAATAGAGTAGTGTCTATGAAAAAAAATTTTAGGAGCATGCAAACGAAAAGTTTGATTCAAATTTTTTAATTTTTTAAAATATCCATAAACATCTTTCCTCTGCGTGTATTTATAATAAATAAATGGATAACCATGGCCATTGCATAGCATAATATACATCATGAGATTGAAATGATGATGTTTGCGACTAATGGTACTCCACTTCACATGTTATCATTCAAGTATGTGTCAATTTAAAACTAAATAAAATTTATACAATAAATTTATTTCTTTCAAGATATAAAAAATTCACATAAGCTTGAAAAATTTTTAAAAAAAATGTTGATGCTAATTACAATATTATTTGTAAAATTTGAAAATAATGTAATTTAATTTATACTATTAATAATGTATTTAACTGAATTGACAAATAATAAAATCATTTAAATTTTATAATAAAATAATAATAATAATAACATACAATTGACAATATTTAGGTTTGCTTATATCTAAAAAAATTTATCCATTCATCATCATAGTAATTTTTTTCAACCGGTGTGTTAAAATTTAACATAGAGATAAAGTCAATAAATTTATAAAAAGAGCTGAAACAATAAATCAAATTAGAAAATGAGGTCGGATTTTATATTAAAAGATTGAAAAAATAAATTATAAGATTATCAAAATTTTGTTAGGAGGATCATGGCTCCTATCTATTTAGGTAGATTTGTCTAGATCTATTAGATAAAATAAATTTTAAATATTATAATACTAGTATCTTTTAGCAATGTGTACGTGAAACTTATATATTTTTTATAATATAAACTAAGGGTGATTTGATTTAATAGATAATAGAAATATATTGTGGTTTAGGTTTAATTCGGAAAGAAGAATAAATAATTTGTTGAATTTCTCGAAAGATGGGATCATCCTTTTTTGTCAAATTATGCTTAAGGTTTTTGTATTTTACAAAAATTTAGAATTTAGTCTATATGTTATAATTTATACATATTCAAATTTTATATTATTTTAATTTCGTAATTTTAATACAATTACTAATTTCATCAATTTTTATCCTTGAAAATGTTATTATAGCTATTTGACTTTATGATGTGAGCATTAATTAGTTGATGTAACAACTTGAATAAATGAATCAATTGTTATGTTATGTAAACTACATTATAATTCATGTGAGGCACGAAGAAATTTTACTTATTTAATATATATTAGTTTCTTTTCAAAATTATATTTAAAATTTTAAAACTTATAACATATATAAAATTTATATATATTAATTTGTCGTTCAAAAATAAACATTCTGAAAATATAAAAAAAATTTTTGTCATTTTTTTGGATATTTTTGTTTATAATCATATTTATACACTATAAAATTATATCAAATAAAAATAAATTATACTTTTCTTAAAAAAATAAAAATATATATTACTAAATAATAAAAAAAGTATTTGCATACTTTTCACTTTAGTAATATTGACTAAATTATTATGCAAAATATGAAAAATGTTAGAAAATATGTGAAAAAAGAAAAAATAAATTGAAAAAAATATTATTTTTCATAAGAATAAAATTGTGGTAACAATAAAATATATATTGAAAAAAATTATAAAAAAAATTGCAATAGTAATATAATATACATTGGAAAAATATTATTGAATTTTTTTTAAATGATGTATAACATGTTACATTTGTAGTCTAAGATTTTTTTAGTGGTAATTAGGATTAAATAGATAATTTTTAAATTATTTTTTTAATTTAAAATTGATATAATAAGTGATAGAGATAATATTAAATTTTTTACATTTATTTGAAATATAAATTTGATAATTAGAGTTCAGATGAATATAATAATTTTGGTGATCTTATTATTTAAAAATTTAGAATGAAAATTTTTTGAATTTTTTAAATAAGGTTATTTCTTAAACAACTAAAATTATTTATTAAAAAAAATAAAATTCATATTTATATTTTTAATCAAAAAATATCTCTAAATTAATTTGATATTCAATTATAATTTGAATAATTTTGATATTTGAATAAATTTAAAATTATCTAATTTATAATTAAAAGAAATTATCTTATTATTTTAAAAAATTATTCTATGTGTTATTTAGGAGAATTATCCACAGAAGCGTTTATGTGACAAACTTATTTATGTATGTCATTATATAATATATATAATAATATATATATATATATAAGATAGTACTTATATTCATACAAAATTTAAAATTTAATCTTTCTAATATAATTTCATAAAAATCTCATACTCATACAAGTTGAAATCAATAATATTGATACAATTACTAATAAAAATAATATTTTTTTACCTTTCCAAAAAATCAAATTTTATTTTTACTTTTTTAAAAAATTTTTTATTAAAAAAATCAAATCTCAATTTTTTTTTAGAAAATTTCCAGATCTTTAATACATTAATTTAATATTTTTAAATATTTTAATTTTTTGGAAAATCATATTTTTCAAATTTTTAAAATTAGATTTTCATTTTTTAAATTTTTAGCATTTTTAATTTGTTAAGAAATTTTTAGTTTTTAAAAATATTAAATGCACATTTTTCAATATTTTAATTTTTTAAATAAAAATAATTTTTTTATTTTTTCAAAATTTAATATTTTATTGAATCAAAATATTTAGTTTTTTGTTTTTAACTTTTTTCGAATTTTTATACAATTTTCTATATATTTTTAATTATCTTATTTTTTAATTTTTAAATAAATAAATAAATAAATTATAAAAAAGACATAGGTTTTTAAAATTTATTCTGTTATAGTATTATTGAGGTGAATGGGTATAAAAATCTGAGATAAAATAAGAAAATAATGAAGCACGAAGATTTTTTTATTTTTATTTATTATTTACTTAAATAAGATAAAAACATGTAAAAATATTTTAAAATTTATAAGCTCTTAATAAAAACATAAAATATTATAAAATTTTTTAAAAAATATAAAAATTAAAAGGTATGGAAAATTTTATAAAAATAAAAAAATAAAAAATAAAAAATTAAATTTATATAAAAATGTTAAATTTTGAATGAATACAAAAAATCTGAAAAATGAAATTAAAACAATTAAAATATTAAAAAAATAAATTTATTATTTAAAAAAAAATCTAAAAATTTTATAATATTTTAAATTTTATATTAGAGGGATTAAATTTTAAATATAGTACGAATATAAAAATAAATTTTAAATTTTATATGAGTATATTGATTATTTATATAATTTAATAATTGATTTTATCAATTTAAATTGTTATGCCAGCAAAGTGATCATTTATATCATCAAATCAATAGTCACTTTAATATTTTTAATGATAAAAAATTAATGAAATTAGTGATTAAATTAAAATAATATAAAATTAAATTTATATAAATTATAATATAAAAATTAAATGTTAAAATTTGACAAAATACAAAAATATATGATATAATTTGACTTTTTTTCTTTTTATGACTAATACATAAAGATAAAGATTGAACTTCATGTTCAAACTTCAAAAGATTGAAAGAATTAGTAAAAAAAAAAAAAAAAAAATCCACGTCGCCAATATTTCGAAAATAAGAGTGGCAAAATCGTCTTTCTACGCTGAAATTCGTAAAACGTTAAAAATCTTGTTTTAATACGGTCGCAATACGGTATCTGGCAATTAAAAACCTCCAAAATTCAAAAATGTGAGGGAAAGATAAATGAAAAAGAAAAATTACACAAATTAAAAAAAATGGATTTTCGTTTTTATGTGTGGCAGTGAAGCAGAGAAAAAAAAGGGGAGGCAAGGAAAAAAGCTGCATCCTTCTCCTCACGGCTTTGAATTTTCTATTTGATTTTTTTTCTCTGCACTTTCTCAGAAACCAAACAGTGCACCATCATTCTACTCTTTTGAAAGAGTAGATACGGAGTTTCTTTTAAGGATTCAACTTAAAAAGAGAGAACTTTGCTTTTGCCGGCATTTTCATCTGCTTCTTCTTTAGTAATCTTAATTATTTGGAATCTCGAACGTTTTCTAGGGTTTTGAGATCGATCGAAGCTTTGAAGTTCTCACTTGGATTTGAAGTAGTTATTTTTTTTTGTTAATTTTCGTCAGGTAAGTGAATAAAATTTTGATATTTTCTGTTTCTTATTCGCTATTTTCTTGCTTGCTTGGATCGGTTTAGATTTGCTATTTTTTTTTTTGTCTTTTAGGGTTAGTGCTTGTCTGTTTCCTCAGAAAATAGAGAAAATGAAGAAAAGTTTCTAATTCTGACAATTTTTGGCTACTACTTTGAAATAGTCTTTAATTATTTATTTCCTTATTATTTATATTATTTAAATTATTTCTTATATTTTTAAGCAGCCAAATGGTAAGGTCCGTTTATGGAAACGAATAATGAAATTATTTGAAGCTTCAGGATTTGGTTTAAGATTTTAAGGAATTTTAAGTTGATATTAGATCGAGGATTTAAATTTGCTGAAGGCTTATATAAAGTTGTGATGTAATGTATAGTAAATTCTAGTTGTGATAGTTGAAGCTTTAACCATCTTTATGAATTATGCTTTGAGCTTGTTAATGGTGACCAAGGATTGAAGAGGACTAGGGTCTGTATCTTAAACAATGGTCCCCGCCATTTGCATTGCCTGGATAAGTCTTCGAGTGGGGTCTTATATTAAAGCTAGATGGAACTTTTGGTGAAAGATGAAAAATCTACTTTTTTGATCTCATCCTTTATTTGATTCATGATACATACTCTTAAAGCTCAAGCCTCAGGGTTGTGAAACACTTAGGAGAAAATGTCTCAGAAAATTGGGTTTCCTCCTTCCCACCGGTCTACTAAATCTTTGCCCATTGATTTTAGGTTCATGGGTTCTCCAACTTCCGATCCCATCAGATATACTGAAGTAAATTCAGGAAATAATGGTGTAACCAGCTTGAGCGGCTCTGAAAATTGTGATTCAGGGGTGAAGGTTGTTGAGAGAGTTGAAAATGGTGTTGCTGATACTGATCAGGCAAATGAGGATTCACCATATAGTGGGAATAATATTTTGGTTGAGGACAGGCCTTCTGTGGATGATGAGGACTTGGACTCTGCAGCTGCACCATTGCCTTCAATATCAAAATCTAACATCGAACACAGGTGGAGTGACATAACTTCCTATGCTGCAAAAAAGGTAATTTGTGTACCTTGTTTTGATATTAGATTAGCCCTTCCGGCTTTGACAGGATCTAGTCTTTGGCATGTTTATGGTAAACCTCTTGCGCAACTACTGAATTACTTAATCTTGCTGTTTCAGAAGGTTCAGTCTTGGTTTCAACTTCCAAACGGGAATTGGGAGCTGGGGAAGATAATGTCAACTACAGGGACTGAGTCTGTTATTTCTCTTCCTGATGGGAAAGTAAGGGAATGTTAAGAAAGCATGAAGTATAAGTTCTTATATTAAGTAGATAGTTGATTCATTTAATTGTATTCCAATTGTAGGTTTTAAAGGTGAATTCTGATAGTTTGATACCTGCAAATCCCGATATCCTTGATGGTGTGGATGATCTCATGCAACTTAGTTATTTAAATGAGCCATCAGTCTTGTTCAATCTCCAATATAGATACAATCAAGATATGATATATGTAAGAGCTCATACTTACTTTCTATTAATTTTGAACCTGCCCTGAAAAGAGTTTTACTAATGCTGTTATTGTTGTAATCATATTCATTATAGACAAAGGCAGGACCAGTTTTGGTTGCTATCAATCCTTTTAAAAAAGTTTCTTTATATGGAAATGACTACATTGAAGCATACAAGAATAAATCCATTGAGATTCCACATGTCTATGCAATCGCAGACACAGCCATCTGGGAAATGACACGAGGTACTTTCAGTTTCTTAAAGTTGTTAGATTGGTTTTTATTTTTATTAATTTTGTTGTTATCATGAGTTTGAGGTTTTAATATGGTTCTTGCTTTTTTTTTTTTTTTTTTGTGCAGATGAAGTAAATTTTTTTTTCCTTCTCAGATGAAGTATATTATCATCTTTTTTCTTTTTCCTTCTCTGAGTATATTCTTTACATGGATTCAACCAATTTATTTTAGCTGCATACTTACAGATGTCTTCTTATTTCTTATTTTGAGAATGGAAAACTAGTAACACATTTTGTAGGTAATTGTGAATAAAAATATCATAGTTTGCCTACAAAAGCAACCGATTTCTCTTTGGCTATAAATATGCTTTGTTATGCTGCTCTGCTGTCTGTGGTGATAAGGATGATCAAATACTAAAAGTTCATGGCTTGTCAGATGCTGGGACTGTGGGACATGCATACTGACTCTTTCTGTAATTAATCCTTAATTGAGTTAGGATGTCCAACAGTGAAGACATGCAAGGGAGTAGAGTTTTTGAAGAATTATCTCTAACTTTGCTGCCTATTAAAGTTGGTGCTCTGAGTTTTGACTCATTCTATGTTTTGGATGTCTAAGGTTGCACCTAAATTAGTAAGGTATTTTTTGTAAGTTTTCACCCTTAGTAAGTTTTCAATGAGATTCCCTTTATTTTTCCTACTTTCCTTATTTCTATTTATCTCTGTATAGACTCTTTCTTGTCTGTGGACGTGTAATATTTTGTTCTCTGACTTGCATCCATGTGTTTACTTTTTGGTAGCTGGGCTACCTTAATTCAGCTCTGCAAATATGTGATGTTGAATGTAAACTATTAAATTTCATCACTTTAAATTACATTTTAATAATTTGTATTGTAAAATATCTGATCATAATCAATGGAGCACATCTCAGGGATTTATTATAGCTGATTTGGTTGTTTTCATTGCATTTGTCCATGTTTGTAATGGTTGTGTTGCTATTTGCTTTTCTAGCGGTGAGAGTGGAGCAGGAAAAACTGAGACAGCAAAGATAGCAATGCAATATTTGGCAGCTCTTGGTGGTGGAAGTGGAATAGAATATGAAATATTGAAGACCAATCCTATCTTAGAAGCATTTGGTAATGCGAAAACATTAAGAAATGACAACTCAAGCCGCTTTGTAAGTGTCCTGTTCTTTCATGGCTCTCAAAAGTTTTTCTTTGATTTTGTCAATTTGCATAGAGTTTTCACACTTAGTGAAATTTGATGAGATGGCCTTCTAGGACTAATATTTTGGGTGAATATTTCTCAGGGAAAGTTGATTGAAATCCACTTTAGTGAAACTGGAAAAATATCTGGGGCCAAGATTCAAACTTGTAAGCTCATTTTTACTACTGAGATCCTGAGATGAAATTCATTTCTTTGAGCATATTTATTTTTCCTTCCTAAAATTTGTAACTAACATCAAGTTTGAATTTCTTTTCTCCTCCAATTGGGCAGTTTTATTGGAGAAGGTAATTTTTATTACACCTCCTTGTTCTTTTGTGTCATTTGTTTTATTATTTTCCTAGGTATGAGTTGCTAAGTTAATCTGTTATATGAACAGTCTAGAGTGGTCCAATGTGCAGAGGGAGAAAGGTCTTACCATATATTTTATCAACTTTGTGCTGGCGCTCCCAGTGCTCTCAGAGGTAATAATTGTTGCTATTATATATTTTATCAACTTTGGTCTAATATACTTCTTGTTGACGACAACTAGGGATACAAGTTTGTTCTTTTTTGCTAGATTGGTCATGTTTATTCATTTTTGAGCATGTCTTAGGGTATGCTTTGGATCTTCAGTAGCAAATTAGAGTTTTCCACAATTAGGTGCTCAATATTATATGTTATGGTTTTGAGTTTGACTCTCCTAAATGTGGTAGTAGAAAAGTATCCATGAGTTAACTAGGTTATTTGTTATCTTCCCTTTTATGCTGTTAGTTTTCTGGAATAATCTCCTAATTATGTGATTTTGAAGAATCGTGTTCAATTTTTTGTGATATTAAATTATGTTCTTTGCCGTTGTTCATTCAATTTTGGCCTACAGAGAAGCTAAATTTGAAGGATGTGAACGAGTATAAATATTTGAAGCAGAGTAATTGCTATTCTATTACTGGGGTTGATGATGCTGAACAATTTCGCATTGTCAAGGTACTTGCTTATTTCTCATTCATTATATCACTTCCATCCATTTAGTTATTTGTCATTTCAAAACTGAGAAAGTAATTGGCATATACTGTTTTTTATGTGTCTAATTTCAGGAAGCTTTAGATGTTGTCCATGTTAACAAAGAAGACCAAGAGAGTGTCTTTGCAATGCTTGCTGCAGTTCTGTGGCTGGGAAATATCTCATTCATCATAATTGATAATGAAAACCATGTTGAAGCTGTCGCAGATGAAAGTAAGCAATTTCCAAAAACCACTGTCAAAAGACTCTTACCAACTGGATTGCCCTCATGCTTTTAAATTCTATTATCGTTGTTGTTATACCTTGTGACCCTTCATAGATGTTAGACAATTCATCCATATAGCCTTTCCCCTACCCTTCCCCCTCAAACTCCTCTACTTCTTGATAATAGACTTTACTTGGAAAGGGAAAAATGAAATGGAGGCATAGGAGAAATTCAAACTATAGACTATTATGTGGTGTTATCCTCCATTAGTTAAGTTTAGAGTTTGCTGTGGCCTTATGCTTAAGTTATGTATCTTTACTTATTGCCAATTAGTTTTAAGTTAGGATGCTTAGAAATTGATATTAGAGTCCAATTTGTTTGTTACACCTGTTTGTTGTTTCAGTGATTTTACTGGCAGATTTTTTCTTGTCGGCAGTACTTTGTGCCAGGGTGAAGATACAATGTCCTGTATGCTAGATTTTCTCCTTTTTAGTTTTTTTTTATTTTCCCATTCTATTAGGCAGTTGCATTTGCCTCCTATCTCTTTTTCCTTTCTAATGCTGCTGATATGCCTTCTTGTATTTTGTTTTTTAGTGTGATATGTCACTTGTTTTTGCTTAAAAAACGGTCTTCTTTATTTTATTCATGTTGCTTTTGCTTGAGCTTCATCTGGTCTCTCTGATGATTATAATATTATTTTTCAGGTCTAATCAATGTTGCTAAGTTGATTGGATGTGACACTATGGACCTTAATCTGGCTTTATCAACTCGCAAAATGAGAGTTGGTAATGATAATATTGTCCAAAAACTTACATTATCACAGGTAAGAATCCTTCTCTTTACAAATACTATATTTTGTCTAGTAGGGCATAAAAAGTGTAAGTATTCTATCTCAGTTTAAGATAGAGCATGTAAAAGATGGTTTCTTCAGATCAAGAATTTCTCTATGCATAAATTTTAATAACATGCTTGCGACGTCCTTTTTCTCCTCATGGCTTTCCTTTGTCATGTCTGAAGACTTGCATGTTTATTGAAGCTGGCTGGAAAAAGGCTTGAGTTGCTTTGATCCCAAATATTGTTCGCATTCTATGCTACCTTATGTCCATATCTCTCCTCTTCATCTGAGGGAAATCTCTGAATTGATGTCATGATTATGGAAATTAATGTGGATATGACTGCTTTGCCATGTTTGAAGAATCAAATTAGTGAACCAAAAATGACTGAATTTGATGATATAACATCTTTGGTTTCACAGTACTGCTGTCTATGCTTATCTAAATGAGCATGAAATTTATAATTGCAAGATTTTACTTTCATTTCTGTAGGATGAGTTAAATTATCTTAATTATTATGTTTAGATGTGCGATTCATGCATGACACTTCAGCTTCACACAATCTCTAACTGCTTGCTTCTATGTCTTAATTTGATATCAAAAGTTAAAGCTATTTGGGATTCTGACCTCCATTGTTTATGGGCCTATGTCTGATCGATGATTGTCCTAGAGTCTAACCTGTTACAGTTGGAAGCAATTTTATTGATTTTCTCATTTTAAGACTTGCTGACATTCATAATAAAAATATTCTTTCATTTTTCAGGCGATTGACACAAGAGATGCCTTGGCAAAATCAATTTATGCATGTTTGTTTGAGTGGCTGGTAGAACAAATTAACAAATCACTTGCTGTTGGCAAGAGGCGAACTGGCAGATCTATTAGCATTCTTGATATTTATGGCTTTGAATCATTTGATGTATGTTTCAATAATGTTTACTCTCTCTATCTCTGTGGCTCCCTGTATGTGCAAATTTACATTTTTTTTGGTTATTCATTCAACATGATTTGTTTCTACAGAGGAATAGTTTTGAGCAGTTCTGCATTAATTATGCAAATGAGAGATTACAGCAGCATTTTAATCGTCATTTATTCAAGTTGGAGCAGGAGGTACCTTTTATTTTCTGCATCTTATGGTTGGATTTGGTTGATCTGAATTGTCATGGAATTTATAGAACCTGACTTAAAACTTAATAGATTTTTTCAATCTTTTGGAGTTGGTAAGTTTTGCACTGGATTAATAATGTGCAATAGCGGCTTCAAAGTGTTAGGAATTAGTATGAAGTAATAACAAATACTACAGTTTTCCGGTGCACATTCTTTGGCTGGGAAGAGTTAATATAGTAATGAATCATTGAATCTTAAGTGTTGATGATTGACACTACCTTTTTGGATAATTAATGATGATTGAAGTTATCAATCAAAGTAAGCACTTGTGTAAGCATTCTCCATCATGAACCAATGAATAATGCTGAAAGATCGCCTTGCTCAAGAAAAGTCTCAACTCTTGAATTAATCTTTTTATAAAAGATAATAATATATTCTTTGCTTTTGCTCTGGTCAGTTATTGGTTTTTGAGAATTAATTTGATTTCATCCAAAAAAGACATTTGAATTTTACAATGATTGTTTGTCCTTTTTTTTCCCTTTTAGGAATATATACAAGATGGCATTGACTGGGCAAAAGTTGATTTTGATGACAACCAAGATTGTCTTAATCTTTTTGAAAAGGTAAGGAGTTCATTTTTAATGCTTCAGCTTCAAGGTATGCTTTCCTTGTATGTGCTCGGTGTAGGAAATAGTGAAGCGCTTTCTGACAAATGTCATTACTTGAAGGTCCTGCAGAGGTTGTCCTGCTTTGATGTTATTTTGAACTTGCTGTTTGTCATGTCTCATAACCTTTTTGGTTTAATTGTATAAAAAAAAAGGAAAAAGTTATCTTATAATTTTGAAATGACAAATTAGCTTTCATGGTATGTTTCCTGCACTCTTGGCATTTGGTTCAACAAAAGTTGCTTTTGTATCATATGCAATATGCATGATATGCTAAGATATATATATTTTTCTGATAGCATTTCAAATTATTCATATTACATGGCATTAAATCAGAATGTACATACATATCTTGTGTATGCTACATTTCTAGTATGACAAGCATGTGTGTATATATATATATATATCATTTATTTTTCCCCATCTTTTTCATGGATTTGAAGGTCGAAATTGCAGGAATGACAACAATAATTTAACTGAAATTTGATGCTTGCCTCTAGTACTGATATCTTTTATTCTTTGCAGCATTAATTTATAAAATGTGCTTCAAATCTTAATTTTTAAGTTTTATGCAGAAACCTTTGGGATTATTGTCTCTGTTAGATGAGGAGTCCACTTTTCCAAATGGCACTGACTTCACATTTGCCAACAAGCTCAAGCAGCATCTGAATTCCAACCCTTGTTTTAGGGGAGAACGAGAAAAAGCTTTCACTGTCTCTCATTTTGCAGGAGAGGTATTTACCTTTCTAATTCATTGGTTGTCAATTGCAGTGTTCCTTTTTTGTGTGTCAAAGGTGCTGCCTGCATCTAGTTTTTCATTGTTAAAAGTATTGTTGGTGGAAGAAAGATGTGTCACTTTCAGGTTTTATTTATTCTTGCTACCTGACAATTTGACAGTTCTTTTTCTTCCTTAACTCAGGTTACATATGACACAACTGGATTTCTAGAGAAGAACAGAGACTTACTGCACCTGGATTCAATTCAACTACTGTCCTCGTGTTCATGTCACCTTCCTCAGGCATTTGCATCAAATATGCTTAGCCAATCTGAAAGGCCTGTTGTTGGTCCTTTACATAAAGCTGGTGGTGCAGATTCTCAAAAGCTAAGTGTTGCAACAAAATTTAAGGTGAAGTCCTTTCCAAATTTCAAGTGTTCCCTTGCTTCAGTATGAACAATCTTAATTATATAATAAGTATGAATATGTGAAAGAAGCTTCTACGGAATAACATGCACTAGCATATACATGTTAATAATTTGTATTTTCTTTTTCTTTCTATTTAATAGAGGGCAACAGATAATTTTGATTTTCTTATTTGTGCGTGAATCAATTCATTACTTAACATTTTATGAAATTTTCAATGCTGTTGCAAAAGTTGGTATTTCTTGCTCTAGGTTATGAGGTTCATACACATCTTAAGCTAAAATTGGCCATTGTTTATCTTATCCTTGAAGTTTCATTTGTCCTCTTTTAGTTCTAAATTTGTATTTTCTCATTCTTTCTATTTAATAGAGGGCAGCAGATAGTTTTGATTTTCTCATTTGTGCATGAATTAATTCGTTACTTTTACTTGACATTTTATGAAATTTTCGATGCTTTTGCATAAGTTGTTGCTTCTTGCTCTAGGATATGAGGTTCATACACGTCTTAAGCTAAAATCGGCCATTGTTTATCTTAACCTTGAAGTTTCTTTTGTCCTCTTCTAATTCTTGTGTTCATTTTTTAGTTGCATGAAAGGAAATCCTGATCCATTTGGGGTGGGTGTTCCATCATATGTGATTCTTGCTTCTGGTTAATCTGGTCTATATTTAAATCTGTTGATACACCATTCCACCTTTTACTGTGCTGCATTTACAACCTTTTCAACTAAAACATGAATCTCTTAATTCTGATTTTTCTCAGTCATGGAAAGACTAGTTTCATTGCTTATTGACTTATGTTTTTTTGCCTTTGCCAATGATGATTGTTTAATTGTTAGTATGAGTTGTACTTGCTGTGTTCAATGGAGGCAGGTCATGCATGGTTTTAAAAGTTGTCTTGTCACTGGTAGTTTGATTTGACGTTTTCCCACTTTATGTTCCTTAACTTAAGAGATGAAATCATCTTGCATATATGGATATGAGGCATAACAATCCCAGTGATTAATGAGGTATTTAAGATTAATAGATGTGGAGGTTGTTATCCTATTGTTCAGATTACTGTTTCTCGTGCAGTGTTCCATAGATGTTATTTTCAGTGAACTTACTATGGTCTCAGATGAAATATTGATTCAAAATTTTTTACGTGGTTGGCATATAAAAGTAATTCAACCTTTTTCTGAATGTAGGATATGGTAGTATGAAAGAAACTAGATATTTTTCCTTAGAATAGAAACATATTGTTTATGGTATGTAAAGTCTATTACTTTTTGAATAGAACGCCTTTTTTGGATATTATAGTTAATAGTTAATTTATCCTCTATTCCTTTTTTTTTTTTGTGTTACTTTCTACAATATAGAGTCAACTCTTCCAACTAATGCAACGTCTAGAGAGCACTACTCCACATTTCATACGTTGTATAAAGCCCAACAACTTTCAGTCTCCTGGATCATATGAGCAAGGACTTGTTTTGCAGCAACTGAGATGCTGTGGAGTCCTAGAGGTTGTTCGTATATCACGGTCTGGCTTTCCCACCAGAATGTCTCACCAGAAGTTTGCTAGAAGGTAAGCAAGAGGGAATCATTTTCTCTATGTCAAAGGAAGAAGCATTTACCTTTTTGTTTCTTTCCCATTTAGACAGTTTTGAGAGTTTGTACATAACTGTTAAGAGTCTGATTTTTTTTTTTTTTCATTTTTTCTTCTGGGTTTTGGCTGTTTCTCATTGGTGGTGTTGGTTTGTTTTGTGCCTCTCAGGTATGGTTTTCTTCTATTGGAAAATGTTGCCTCACAAGATCCGCTGAGTGTTTCAGTTGCAATTCTTCATCAATTCAACATTTTGCCTGAGATGTATCAAGTTGGCTACACAAAATTGTTTTTCCGTACTGGGCAGGTACAGTAAAAGAATTCTGATTGGTTCATTTTGTGTGATTTACCCTTTTCTTAGCTCCATGAACCCCTCTCTTTATGGGGCTCCTTTTAAGGAAAAGGGGAAGTGGGGTTGGTTGGATTTGGTATGGAAGTTTTGCAGCATTTGACTGCCTTGGCTGCTGAATAATGACGAGCCAGTTAAATAGAATGCATTTGGTGAAAACAGTTCTAGATGTTGGTTTTTGCCCAAAATCTTTGATAGCCCAAACCCCATTTTCTTCGTGACCCGATATGGTTTTTCAGGAACCATTTAGAATGTTATAGTTTTCATTTTTTAGTTTAACTAAAATCAAATGCGTGGATAAGAATCTATAATGCATGCACTAGAATAATTAATTTGTTACCCTATGAACATGAGTTCTTAGTTGAAACTATTTAATGTAAAAGAAGATTATAGAAATCTTACTTTTTTTTTTTTGACATTGTCATTATTTAATATACATATATATATAACGTAATATGTATTTTTAAATATATATAAATAATGATGAGCCAGTTAAATAGAATGCATATGGTGAAAACAGTTCTACACACTGGTTTTTGCCCAAAATCCTTGAAAGCCCATACCCCCTTTTCTTCATGACCTCATATGGTTTTTCAGGAACCATTTAGAATGTTATAGTTTTCAAGTTTGAATTTAACTAAAATCAGATGCATGGATAAGAATCTATAATGCACTAGAATAATTAATTTGTTACCCTATGAACACGAGTTCTTAGTTGAAACTATTTAATATAAAAGACGAAGATTATAGAAATCATACTTTGTAACTCTTTGCCTCGAACAATTTGAAAGCCAAATGAAATGTGAAAACATCGCTAACAATACTAGTAATTGAAAATGGAAATGCTTGAGAACATCCATGTACTTAATAACCTTGGGTTAGATTGATGTAACAAAGACTCTTTGGGCAGATTGAGGTTCTTGAGGAGATTTTGTATACTGTATATTTTACAACAACAATAATAAACTAAAACTTATATTTTATAACTCTGGGGTCGATTGTATGAAATACAAAAAAAAAAAAGGAATCATGTTAGGTCGTAGTTTTAAATTTCTTGCACCACTCGTTTCTATCACAAATAACCTTTTCATCTACTTCTTTAACTCTCATATATTTTCTTATTACTTGCACCCACATCTTTCGTGGCCTACCTTTAGAAGTTTTGGTTTCTCCCAAATTCAGAAAACTCATTCTCCTAATTGATGCATAGATGGGCCTACATTTCACATGTTCAAACTGTCTCAAACGCCCTTCCATTTTTTTCTCAATTGGGATTACCTTTAATTTTTCTTGAATTTCTTCATTTTTGATTTTGTCTTTTCTAGTCTTACCACGCATCCATTTAAGCATTCTCATTTCAGCCACATTCATTTTCTTCTTATATTGTTTCTTAATGGCCCAACACTTAGTCCTACATAACAAGGCAGCCTTATGGATGTTTTATACAACTTCAACTTTAACTTTAAAGGCATGTTGCGATCACACAACACACCCGACTCATTTCATTACCTTATCCATCCTGCTTGAATCCTATCATTTACATTTTTTTCTATCTTAGCAGCGCTTTGAATAATTAATTCCAAATTTAAAAAATGACTACTCTTTGGTACTACCTCACCATTCAACTTAGTCACACTAGCACTCACTTCTCTATTACTATTAAACTTACATTCCATATATTTAGTTTTAGATATACTCAATTTAAAGTCTTGAGACTCTAATATATGTTTTCATAATTCTAATTTCACATTAAGATCATCACTTGTTTTAGCAATTAAAACTACATTATCAGCATATAACATACATCATGGCATCTTATTTTGGATATGTTCAGTGAGCTCATCTATAACTAACGCAAAAAGAAATGGACTTAGTGTTGAGCCTTGATGCAATCCTGAGGTAATGGGAAAGCCATTAGTCAAGCCCTTAAACATCCTCACATTTGTTACAACTTGTTCATACATATTTTTAACTATGTTAATGTACTTTAAAAGAACTCCTTTCTTTATTAAGGCCTGCCAAAACACTTTTCGGGGAACTCTAATGTATGCTTTCTTTAAGTCGCTAAATACCATATGTAGATTTTTTTTTCTCGCTTGAAAACCCTCTAACAAAAGCCTCAATAGGTGAATTGTCTCTCTTGTGGAGCATCCTAGCATAAACCCAAATTGGTTTTTGGAAATAGTAGCCTCATGTCGCAACTTACATTCAATTACTTTCTCCCAAAGTTTCATGGTATTACTCATAAGCTTTATTTCTCGATAGTACGAACAATTTTGTATATCTCCTTTATTCTTATATAAAGGCACTAGAGTACTCTTCCTTCTTTCTTCTGGCATCTTTTGAGTATGCCAAATTTTGTTGAAAAGATTTGTCAACCATCCTATCTTTATTTCATCCAAACATTTCCTAACTTCAATTGGGATTTCATCTGGTCCTATAGCTTTCTTTGCTTTCATTATTCTTAAAGACTCTTTAACCTCATACCTTTTAACACTATGTTTAAACACATGATTTATATCCTTACAAGGTATGTTAAGCTCACCTATATCATGTTCAAAATTGCCATTAAAGAGATTATCAAAATAATCTTGCTATCACTACTTAATCTCCTCATCCTTCACTCATTGCTTTTGATGCATCTTACACCATTAAGATCCCTACTCCTCTTATCCCTCATCTTAGCAATTTTGAACAACTATATTTCTCAGTCTTTTGTCTCTAGTTTTATATATGATTTCTCATGGATCCTAGTCTTTGAATATCAAATAACCTTTCTAGCTTTTTGTTTGTTGTGTTATACTTCAGATAACTCGTTTTGTCCCTATTGCTCTTTAAATTCCTATAACATTCCTGCTTAGCTTAATTGTCATTTTCACATCATCATTCCAATACCAAGATTCCTTTCCTAATGGTGCACGACCCTTAGATTCACTAAGCATCTCTTTAGCATTTTCTCACATTATTTCTATATCTTCATCAGGCTTCCAATCAATCTGTTTTACGAGTTTATCTTTAAAAGCTAACATTTTGTTCCCCTTCAAGTTCCATTACTAAATATGTGGTTCATGACTTTGATGTATCTTTTCTGACCATCGGAGGTGAAAGATATCTAGAACTAGCAGTTTATGTTGTGTTATTACACTCTCACTCAGTATAATCTTACAATTCATACAACTACTTCTATTCTTTTTCCTCATAAAAAAAAATCAATTTGACTAGTGTTTGACCCATTCCTAAAAGTCACCAAATGTGATTCTCTTTTCTTAAAACATGTGTTTAATATAGTTGGGTCAAATGTAGTAGCAAACTCTAAAATATTATCCTCATTGTTTCTTTCGTCAAAACCAGATGTACCATGCACCCTCTCAAAGTCAATACAATCCTTGCCTACGTGATCATTCATGTCTCCTTCAATAAACAATTTTTTTTCCGTTTGATATGTCTTATTTGTGAGCATAAGCACAAATGTCACAGTTTCCTCTCCTAAATAAGTTTAACATTTAAAATTCTATCTCCCTTTCTTTTAACCTCAACTACATCATGATTCAAATTCTTATCTACAATTATCTCAACTCCATTTCTACTCCTTTCTTTACCTGTGTACCAAAGCTTAGCGTCTTATGTTTCAATCTCTCTATCCTTTTCCCTTACCCATTTAGTTTTTTGAAGACAGAATATTAATTCCTCTCCTAGTAATGACCTCTCTTACCTGTACTAGCTTACCAGTTAATAATCTTATATTCCAAGTAGCTAAGCATAACTTGCTGCCATGGACTAGCTTCCTTACTACTTCTTTACTCATTTTCCTTCATTAAAACATGAGAATCATTGCCTAGTTGACACCACATCCAGGTGGCAATGTGGCGCATTACTTCCAAGCGACGAACTAACAACCCTTGCCCATTTCACACTACACCCTGACTCCGATGTAGCACACTGTTGGGAGGCGATGACTCGATGAAAATTCTTATTTTGGTCTCTCATCATGGTTTGACTATGTTTTACAGTGGCTGTCATCCTTCACAAACCTCTCTTTATTCGGGTTTGGGACTGGCAGTGTTGTAACGCATAGGCGGAGTTTAGTAATTGTATATCTTGATAGAAAAAAATTTAAAATAACTTGCAACATGTGTCTTTTCTTGATCTTGATGGACTGATATATGATTAATAATTGATGCAGATTGGGGTTCTTGAGGATACAAGAAATCATACTCTTCATGGCATTTTATGTGTTCAAAGCTGCTTCAGAGGGTATCAAGCTCGCCGCCACTTTAAGGAGCTTCAAAGAGGAATTGCTACCCTGCAGTCATGTATTCCCATTTCTGATTTTTATTGCTTTAAATTATATTACGCAAAATAAGAAACTGTCAAGACCTGATTTTTCTACATCTCTTACTACAGTTGTCAGAGGAGAGAAAACCAGGAAAAAATATGCTGTCTTATTGCAGAGACATAGAGCTGCTGTTATTATACAAAAGCAGATTAAAGGCAGGAATGCAAAGAAAACATTCAAGAACATTACTGATGCATCAATTGTGATACAATCAGGTGCGTATACAGGGTTTTTTGTCCCCTTGAATTTTAAGTATAAACTTGCAAAGCAATATAATGCCTCTTTGTGTTTTCTTGAAACTTGAGTTCAAAAGAACTGAAAGTGGCTTGGGCTTCTGGCTGCCATGATGTGGTCAATTTCAGGATAGAGATGTCTCTGTATTTCAACACCAGTTTGTTTATGTTAAAGATATTCAAATACGTCGAAGTGCATTTCTTATATAACTCCTGCAAAATTTAAAAAGTTTGGTTGGCAAACATTTAACCATGTATGAAAATGAATGCCCTCCTAAGTGAATTGGATAAATTTGGTTTTGGCTGCTAAGATTAGAAAGATATATGACAAAGCAGGTTTAGGTTAGACATTTTTTTCTGTGAAGTCATAGTTTGAAATCATGTCACTAAAAATTGTATGTATAATTTCATGATTATGTGTGCTATATGCTGCAGTTATTCGTGGCTGGTTGGTCAGAAGATGCTCTGAAGATATAGGATTGCTCAAATCTGGAGGCTCTAAGGTACAATGACCATATTACTTTGTTTAACTTATAAATTGTACTTATGGTGCGATTTTTCATGTAATTCTTTATTACTAAATACTTATCAAATAGCATTCCCTTCTTGCTGTATCTGGAGAATGATGTTAAATATTATTTTTTCTTTTGTTATGATGCATCTTCAATCACTACTCAATATCTTGTTATTGATGCTTTGGGATATTAAATACCAACACTTCAAAAAATTGGCTTTAATCTCACAGCTCCTCCAGTCTTCTTCCATCTCCTGTCATTTTTCCAAACTTTTCTTAGTTTATTAAAGATGCCGTCCCACTGCTTGTGAAATATAGGTCCAGTCTTGCGAAAGACTATCAACAAAATTGTTATTCCAAACAGTTTGCTGATCAATCTTTCAATCAGTTCTATGACCCCTATTTTTGTTTTTGAATCTTTCTTTTAACTGTTATGCGGACTCTAAATTTTCAGCATTCTTCTGATTTATATTCTTATTCAGTCTCTATAAGTTGTGATTGATTGCTTTTAATTAGTTCCAACATTTTCTTGGAAGATATGTGAATTCATCCATATTATATTATTTGCATTTGAGACACTAAATGATTATAAATTCTGATACAGGCAAATGAATCAGATGAGGTGCTGGTCAAATCATCATTTCTTGCTGAACTACAGCGACGAGTTCTTAAAGCTGAGGCTGCTCTGAGGGAGAAAGAAGAGGAAAATGATATCCTCCACCAAAGGCTCCAACAATATGAAAGCCGTTGGTCTGAGTATGAGCTAAAAATGAAGTCCATGGAAGAAGTGTGGCAGAAACAAATGAGGTCTCTACAATCGAGTCTCTCCATTGCAAAGAAGAGCCTAGCAGTTGATGAGTCAGAGAGAAATTCAGATGCATCAGTTAATGCAAGTGATGAAAAAGAGTATAGCTGGGATACAGGAAGTAATCATAAGGGCCCTGAGAACAATGGTTTGAGACCAATGAGTGCAGGCTTGAGTGTTATAAGTCGGCTGGCGGAGGAATTTGAGCAGAGGAGTCAAGTTTTCGGTGATGATGCCAAGTTTTTGGTGGAAGTAAAATCAGGTCAGGTTGAAGCAAGCCTGAACCCAGACCGCGAGCTTAGAAGATTGAAGCAGATGTTTGAAACTTGGAAGAAGGATTATGCAGCAAGATTACGAGAAACAAAAGTGGTGTTGAATAAACTTGGAAATGAAGAAGGTGCACTTGACAGGGTGAAAAAGAAGTGGTGGGGCAGGAGGAACAGCACAAGGTATACTTAAATTTGATTAATATTATTATTCTTTCAAGTTGGTGGGTGTTGCTATTAGCTGCATAGAGTATTCGTAATTGCGTAGAGAAATTGTGAGAGTTTTGTTGTTAGAAGTGATTTGGTTAATGAAGAGGGCAGTAATTGAAGTGCATACCCAAAGTTTAAATATGTATATTATATTTTTGTTATTGAAAAGCTAATCTTATGTCCACAGAGTTTGGGCTTTTGCTTGTTTGTCGCTGAAATGCTGAAAGCTTGTATTATGAATCATGATAATCTTCTGTTTAATTGCTTCCTTCTCTTTGGCAACTTAAATTTTAGAACGGCTTCCTCGTGTTTTCTTTTGCATTAACGTTTGGGTTGTTACTTAATGTTAGTTTTCAACAGTACTGGTAATGTTTTGTATGGGTTAAGGAAAGATCCAGCAGTTTTAAGCTTTTCTATCAAACTCTAACTAAACTTTTTTTTTTTTTTAAATTTTTTCACCCACCTTTCATTCTCCCACTTTTTACCTACCAAGGCAATGCCAAAGTACTTAAAACACAAAAAACTAATTCATGCAAAGGTTCCACCATCAAGTTTGACTCCCCATTCCCTTCGTTTTAATTAGCTGGTTGACCAAGATTTGCTTGCTTCGAATTCGATGTAGCATCACTAAACCAAGTTGTCTTGATTTATTTCATGACGTTGTGGAAAGTATGTGTTATTTGTATGGTTTTATTCTGTCAACAGAGAAGATAATTTTGGTTGCAAAAGTTTAGGCCATGGCCAATGGCTCTCTGCCGAACCAGGATCAAATGTCATGTGCTTCCCTTTTCAATCTAAAAGAAGTTTGGATTGGTGACGTTTTCCTTCTGTTAATTATGCAAGGTTTTTCTTGCATGGACTCTTTCACTTGAGTTTATCTTGACCCTAATATCTATTATTAAACACAAATCAGTGAAAAATTGAATAAAATATCACTTATAAATTTATGTTTTTAATCTAAAATATATTTTTAATAGGTAAAAAATACTCATGATTTATAAGTTCAAAACCATTCTAATATTTTCGGGTAACAAATTCGTGATAAAAAAATATTTAAAATTTTTGTAATCGTATAAAATTATATTAAAAAAAGCGATAAGTGTTTTTCGTCCAAATGAAATTAATGGAATGGATGGTGGGACCATATTATAAATAGTGGGGTCCTGGTCCTAACGACTTTTAGTGTTGACGTGGGTTAAAGGGGAAGAGGGGAGGGAGGGCCCCAAGGCCAAACAGTTAACGTTGTAAAGCGCAAAGCCGCAGCAGCCCTAGCTGCTACTTCTGCTACTACGATGTAGTTGGAGTTGAAATTGTTGTTCTTATTAGCAAAGGAAGGAGTAAGAACAGAAGAGAAGAGAAGAGCAAAGCAACAACGAACACAACAAATTCCTTTTTACTTCTTTTTATTCATTACTTTAAAACTGCCAAAAACAAAAGTGTCAAAGCAGGAAAGACCCATTTTTGGTTTCAACATTGATAGAAAGTTTGATGATAAAAATGTTCTCTTGTGGCGGCTGTCGCATCTCTCATCAAAATTTAGGATTAGGGTTTTGCTCCGCCAGAATCCTGCAGCTCTCTTCTTTCATGGTTCAACCTCCCTCATTCTCCTCCGCCTCCGCAATTGTTAACAATAATTCTAATCATCGATTCCAATCCCTGTTTGTTTCTTCTTCTAGTCTTCAGTCCAAATCCCCCGGCGACATTCCTATTCTCCCCGATTTTTTCAGGTTCCTTTTTTTATCCGAAAAAATATTTTTAGTAGTAATCTTTTCTAATTTTCAGTATCTGTAAAGTTGCCAATTTTTAATTTTCAATCGAATTTAGTTAAATGGGTGTTCAAAATTGATATAATGTTTTTCTTTGAATTAATTATAATCCAGTATATTTTTTTTTTTCAAGAATCTGAATAATTTTCTTTTGTGCAAAGCCAACGTGAAGACGAGCGTGAGCATCCTTCTGAAATATTGTCCTCGGTGGCAGGTTTCGTTTTCCTGTTCTTCTCCTTTGCATCTATCTTACCGTGATTTATATTTTTATGTATTAGTATTTTTATGTTATTTATCGGCATCATTCCATTAGGAGGCATAGTTGCATTGGGAAAGTTTGACGCTCTTCACATCGGTCACCGAGAACTTGCAATTCAAGCTTCTAAGGTTGGAACTCCATATCTTTTGTCATTGGTAGGAATGGCTGAAGTCCTTGGTTGGGAGCCTAGGTAATGGTTTTTATATATGTTCGCGAAATTCTGTAAAGCTTTGGCTGTTTTCAATAGCTGCTTCTCATATCTAATGCAACCAAGTATGGTTTTCAACAGGCCTCCCATTGTTGCCCAATGTGATCGTACGCGTGTTCTTTCCTCTTGGGCTCCATATTGTGGTAATGTGGCTCCCAGGGAATTCCAGCTACAATTTATGGGTGTTAGACATCTTACACCTCGGCAGTTTGTGGAGAAGTTAGCAAAGGAGCTTGGAGTGTGCGGTGTTGTGGCAGGTAAACTAAAAGCTGTGTGACTCTTAAAATTTAATTGTCTCAAAATTATCAAGTAAAAGGTTAATCCAGATATTTTGAAATAGATATTTTCGATGGCTAATTGTCCCAGGTGATAACTATCAGTTTGGCTATAAAGCTGCTGGTGATGCTTCAGAATTGTTGAGGTTGTGTGATGAGTTTGGTGTGGGTGCTTATATAATAAAATCTGTCATGGACAGGCACCAAGATGCCCGAAATATGAATCGTTATGATTTAAAAGAGAGAGGACAAGTTTCGTCTACCCGTGTTCGACATGCGCTAGCTGAAGGTGACATGAAATACGTTTCAGAGCTTCTAGGCCGCCAACATCGTCTGTTATTGGTGGTGAAAGACTGGGAAAGCTTAACTAGTACTAGCAGTAAACATAGGGTGTCAGCTCCAAAATCTTCTTTGCTAAATCTGCCACCCAAAGATGGTTTTTATGATAACTGTTCTCTTTTATTTGGGAAACAAAACCCTGTAACATGTAGAATATCTATTGATACAACACATATCCATCTGGAGGCGGACTGGGTAGATTTTGGTGATTATGATTACTCTAAAACCTTTCAGGTCTTGGGTATTGAATTTGGTGAATTAAGACTTGATTTTGCTTAGTATATATGTGTCAACTTTTTTAGTTTATTTCAGGAAAGTATTTCACGGGTGAAAACTTTCATCCATGTTTTAAAGCAGTTAGCATATATACTTTCCATATGAGAGGGGCCTGGATTTCTTTATCAATTAAATTCTATTTGTATATTGCACACGAATATAGGATACCTATCCCATTCTTTAAGTTGGAAATGAATTATGTTTTCCTCTCCCATGAGCTGCTTTTATTTTAATGTATTGGTTAGGTAGCTGGCTTAAAAATATACATGAATGAGTTTGTGTTGGCTTGAAGGATTTTCATTTATCAGTGCAATGCAATATAGGTGAGTGGGTGGACTCTTATACTTTATTGCTGGGGTTTGTTTCCTAATGAATGTTCTGCATGCTTTCAGTTGACTGATGGTTTGTCTGTCCTAGTACATCTTTCTCTACAATAGACTTGAATATTAATTGCACTGAGGCTGGAAGGAAGGAAAAGCAAGTGCTTGGGTGGTCCATAACTATTCGGTAAAGCTTGGGAAACTATATAAGCTGTAGTTTACTTCTGCTCTTGAGAACTATTCTTGTTTTCATTTGTTATAAGTTTTGGAAAGTTAGGGCTTAGATCCATGTTTTTCTTGAGGTATGACAGAAATTGCACCATTTCTTTTTTATTTTTTGGTGAGGCATCTTCCAAGAACATTAGTGATGCCTCATTTATCTTTCTTGAATATTTTTTTTGGAATAGAAGAATGTGTTATATGGCAGCTCATTATTTGGTGAAGGTATTAGATTACGAACAAGTTGAGAAAATATGATTTTTTTTTGCCACAATAGAATATGATTTATGTAGATTGGTAATTGGCTTTAAAGTTCTTGGGCTTCATCCCGTCACTTTGATTATATCATTTGAAATTTGATTGCTTTGGTTATTGCTCAACATAGGAGTATTTGAAGATTAATATACAATTTCAGTTGATTAGTTCTTTTGTTTATGGTTTCTAGTTTAGAACAATTATGCAGTACTACCATTGGTTGTTAAATAGTGTTGGGCATTTGTCATGTATTTGTTTGTTTATGTTGCTGATAGTTGGAAAGTTTGACAGCACGGAGTTGCTTCCAAATTTGTTATGGTGAAGAGCTTGGTGGAGTCATCTTTTGCGCTTTAAGAGTAACTTTCTGAAATCAATACATCTTCATCTTGTATGAATTTTTTCAACTTGGGTTTCTTCTCTGGCTGAGTACAATCAGTGCATTGGGCTTTTCTTATGCTTTAGTTTTTCTATTTTATTTTTATGGAACTTTTCTGAGAGAATTTAAGGCTTAATATCTGACTTCAGTCTTAAGATTCCCTCCCCCCCGCTCATGCTGCTGAAAGAACAGTTATTATGGCTTCATAGGAATCTAAGGATATCCAGAATGATAATATCTCGCTGATTGGACGAAAGCTATTCTCTGCAACTGGGTTCAGTGCAACTTCATTCACGTGCAGCTGATGACTTGATAATGTTTTTCTGCAACACGTCTGCATAAGTTTTCTGCATACAAGGTACGAGAAAAACATTAAGGGTTCCGATAAAAATTTCAAACATAGGTTCAACACTTGTTTCATAGGTAAAAAGGTTGCTAGTGTTTAGCAGCTCCCTCTCATTTTGTAATTTGTGTCATCTTGAGCTTTTATGCTTTTAAGATCGTCTTATTAGTGCAGCTGCTGATGGCGTGTTCCAAGGAAGACTATGAAACTGTTTTGGATAGCTTCTTCTGCATAGTCAATTGTGCATGGATCAGTGCTTACTATATTGTCCTTATTGTTTGTGTCAAATGCATTTTTTCAAGCGTCATTGCAACTGTACGTTGAGAATTTGATATGTCCATCCCTAGTGTGCATGATTACATACAAGAATTTGTTTCGGGTTTTGCTATGCTAAGTGTTGTATTGATATTGGTTATGAATAAAGCCTTAGTGCGATCTTGTCTTTGTTTCAACACCCATGTCCTTTGGTCTTCAGTTTGTCATGTTTTACCCAGCTTATCATACAAGTGAAAGAATTTCCTTTCAATATGTGGTTGAATTTCTCGTTGAACTATAACGAGCAAAAACAAAAACAAGAGATGAATCAAAAGCCTTAGAAAGGAAGTGGATTCCATTTCTGTTAAAACTAAATTTGGACAAAATGACATTAAAGAAACGGGAATGGCATCCACTACATAAAACCAAACTTTCGGAAGAGCATATCTTTGTCACATAATAGTTGGGGAGCATATCCACTTTGGATATCCTCGAAACCACTTCCCCTTACAAATCAGGAATCTTTGCCTTTGTTTTTACCTTTTTCCCTTGAAACGCAAAATTTGCGTGAATTTGCCTCCAGACAAAATGTAGTGGATATCAGATTCCCATTTAGTTGGATGATACGTAGGGATTGGATCAAATTCTAAAAAAAAAAATTTATATGATTCATTTTCCAATGATTAGATACTTCTTCCTTTTTTTCTCTTTCCTCATTTCTCTTTTCTTCCTCTTCAAACAAAAAATAAATAAAAAAATTCCTTTCCTTTTTCTTCTTAATTTTTAACTAGAAAATAATTTTTTCTAAAAAAAAATATAGTGGTGGGCATATTAGGTTGATTTAGTAAATAACTGATAAATTAACAATATTTAGTATATATGTAGCAAATGAATTGTTAGCGTGAAGTACAGGCAATTCTAAGAAAACCCTGAAAGCAAACTCCCGTTATTTATTTTCCTTTTCTTACGTTTCATGATTTATGAATTGTTTTAGATATTAATATAATAATATAAAATAATTATATCTAATAATTTATATATTCATCTTGTTATCGTGTTTGTTTATAAAATACAAAAATTAAAATTATTATATGTAATATTAATGTAAGTTTTGTATTTTTAAAATTTTCGATTAAGATTAAATTTAAATTTATAACATTTAATTATTTTAATTTAAAAATAAAAAAAATATGTAAGCACATCTCTTTTCTTGAATATATATACGAGAGATCAATTTATAAGTATAAAAATAATTTAATTATATATTTTTTAATCATTAAATTTAAAAGATGATATTAAATTATTTTTTTACTTATTTCTCTAAAATTTTTTAAAATTAATAATTAAAAAATATAAAATTAAGAAATTTTACGATGATAGAAATTGGTACATTTAATTATTAATTTTAATAAATTTTAGAGAAATAAGTAAAAAAATAATTTAATATCATCTTTTAAATTTAATAATTAAAAAATATATATATATATATATAGACACACACACGCACATGAGCCAAAGGGATTGAGAAACACAAAAAACAAATATGATTACAGGCAGAGAGCAGAGAGGGGGCGCATTATTTTCGTCCCAAAAACCGAAAGCCACATCCCCTCCCCTTCTTTCATTTTGATTCAAATCAATAACAAAAGGCTCTTTCTTTTTTTTTTTTTTTTTTTTTCTCTCTCAAACAAGAAGAAACAAACCGCTTTCACTTTCACCTTCAGCCCATTCAGGTTACTTCTTTTTCTTCTTTTTTGTTTTTCTTTCCTCTCCATTCTTTAGTATCTTAATAAGATTATCAACTCAATCCAAATCTATAGATTATCTTTTAAGGCCTGCATTTTCTTTTTTTTGTTCCCTTTTTTTTATTTTTATGAATTGGGGTTGGGTTTTGCCTTTCGCGTTTGATTCCGATCGTCCTCAATCCAATCTTTCGTCGTGTTAGGATTCCATCTATTCATATTCAATTATTTTTGTAAATTTTGTTTTCCAAAATATATAAGATTTAAATTTTTTTAAAAAAATTTAAAAATTGACCCGCGAATAAGGTTTTTCGTGTTCATGGTTATCTGAGTTCTACTCGAGTCGTGGTCTAGTTGACTGGCTTCCCATCACCCGATACGTAGGGGTTACAACAGTCATTTCGGTTTTATGGGTCTTCCTTTCTTCTTGCAACTTGTAATTTTGACCGCATCACGTCACATGTACCGACCCAAGATTCTTGGTTTAGCGCAGCCGCGTCTGTTGAAGTTATCTTTCCTATATTACCCCTGGCCTCACGTTTTATATCCCTTCTGTTCATCCAAGAAAAGGGTGAATTACTCATTGATAAACCCACCCATTCTCAATCCTATTGGGTCAAAAAATGAAGATGACAGGGCAAATCAGTCACGCGGCATTCAGTTATTAGATATGTTTTGAAAACTGGCTGCTGAGTTTGCACACACCCTAAGCACGCGCTGCTTCAATTGACTTTTCATTCCAGTTTAATCTTAATAATTTAATGACTTAAATTTGTGGCTTCATTTTGTTGAATGAAAATATTTCTTGCAGTAATAGCGTGTTTTGGGTACAAGCAAAGGAAGGTTCTTGGTCGGTGGGGGTTGTCTATACAGTATTTGATCGGGCTGTCAATGTCTATCTTTTGAATTGACAGCCCGATTCTCTGTCAACGCTTTTTTATTTAGAAGGTAAGACTAGGCATATACATAATATGCCAACATTTAGCTTGCTTATTGGCTTGACATGTTCTTGTTTTTTGTCCCGTGTTCTATTTCTTAATTTAATTCCATTTGTTGGGTCATAATTGGATACTCTTATTTTGTGCAGGTGATTCTTGTTTTTTAATTTTCTTTTGGTTTACTGGGTATTGACCAGATTGAGTTTCTTTGACTTTTGGATTGGGTTTTTATGTTTGTTTGAGGCCGGCTTCGTATTGGTATGGTAGGTTCTGTTCTGGGTGTTCAGTATGGGTTCCTTGTCTGGGATCATTCAACGTCCTCTAGTTGCAGCCGCTGCTGTTGCCGTGGCTTCTGTTTCTGCTGATTTTTCTGTTAAACTTCCATCTCCTTCATCGGATATTTGTTCCACCTCAGAACAAATTGAAACTTCCGTATCTAATTCTTTACCAGAATCCAAGTCTTCATTGGTAGGTCGTATATCAGCTTCCAAGCTTGCAAGCCTGTCTTTTGTTAGTGGAATTCAAGTACCTCTACCTAGTGTTAACTTTCCGGTTCCAAATTTGGGCCGGAATTTTGTACCCAATGTGCTGTGTTCTTCTATTGCTTCATCTCCGCTACTAGTTAATTTATATCAGTCAGCAGAGTTAGGTAAAGCATCAAAGCCTGCTGCATTCAAAGAGAGTATCCCTACCTCAACCCCTGACGTTTTGTACAGATGGCATTTGCCAGAGCCAACTTCAATTGATATTTCTGGGACTTCTGATTGTTCATCAGAAAAGTCTCGTACGGTTGTTGTTTTGTTAGGGTGGTTGGGCTCTAAGCAGAAACATCTCAAGAGATATGCAGAGTGGTATACCTCGAGGGGATATCATGCCATTACCTTCACCCATCCGATGATTGACATTATCAGTTACCAAGCTGGTGGGAAAGCTGAGCAGAACATAGACATGCTTGTTAATCACTTGGCTGATTGGTTGGAAGAGGAGCATGGGAAAAACCTGGTTTTTCACACTTTTAGCAATACTGGATGGTTAACGTGAGTTCTCCCTCTTAGTCTCTAACACGCACTTGCAAGCACAGACACAACTGCTGCATTTGTTCATATATGCATGGGGAACAATTTTATCTAATTATCTGAACTGATTTTCTGATCGGAATTCATCTTGTTGCAGATATGGAGCTATTCTTGAGAAGTTTCAGAAGAAAGATCCTTCTTTAATGGGAAGGATCAGAGGTTGCATTGTGGATTCAGCCCCTGTTGCAGCCCCCGACCCTCAGGTAAATGATGCTTAAAGGTGTTTCACATATGCAATTGACTTGATTAATGACATATTATCCGACTGAGGAAGAGTTTACATATTTTAGCGCTAGCCCTTTATGTTGCAACTTGTCAATTCTACTTTTATCAATAAAATGATAGTTATAACCTCAAATCTTGTAACTAAATTGCTGAATTTATTTGAAAAGGAAAAAATTTTTTTATGACAATGCAAAATAAGTTATGATTATCAATCAAACCTCTGTATGCTTCCGCCCAAATGTTGATAAGTAAGTTGCTAGTATCCCTTTATCACTCTCTCCCCTTAGGTGGATATCCTAAGTATATGGACATTATACAGTCTTTCTTTTCTGGGAGCTTCTTTCAGATTTATTATCCTTAAAGCGTCTGTCTTTGTTGGTGATGGTCTGTACTATGATATGCTAAGTATTATTTGCTCTTATGTACCATTATGTCATTGCTAGTGCTTGTAAAATCGGAAACTGTTTTCTGCCTGATTCATCAAGATACAAAACATTTACTGCTTTGAAAAATGTGTAAAATTGTCAACATTTTGTACAAGAAATTTAGTAGATTGGCATTTGCTGGAGGATTGTAGGTTTTATATTTGTTTATCCTTTTGGAGTTTTTAGATTTCTTTTGTTTTAAGTTTGGAGTTTGTGTTTCATATTAGTACACTGGAAATGCTTAACAAATCCTTTTGTATTCAAAGTTCGCAGGCTGGCTTTCAGGTTCTCTCGCGTTCTGAAGAACACATACTTTGCAACAAAAGGATTTGCAAGCTCAAGTGAATCAGATATGGGGGCATTAGTTGGCAAAAGAGAAGTCTCAGAACCCAAGCCTGCAGTAACTGAAGCTGCTTTGCTATTAGTCCTGGAGAAGTTCTTTGGGTTGGTTTTAAATCTTCCTGGTGTTAACAGGTAATGACCCCTTTAAAATTGGCAGAAAGTAATGGATGCTATACCGGTCTGATTGGATAACTAATCTTTGATTCATTGAAAATCTTTCTCTGGGCTGAGAATTATTTGCAGTACACAACTTTTCAGGATTCTCTTTCCCTGAATAAGTATGCATGATATGTACTCTCTCTCTCTCTCTCTCTCTCTCTCTCTCATGCTTTAGGGCGATCTATGTGTACCTTTTATGATCCTAACAGTCATTCCGATGTTAATTATATACTGGAAGTCATTATACCTTTTAAAACGGACATAACTTGATATTATATCATCTTGCAGGAGGCTTTCTGATGTATTAGGCTTGCTTTCATCCGGACAACCTACCTGCCCACAGTTATATATTTATAGCTCTGCAGATAGAATCATCCCTGCTGATTCAGTGGAATCATTTATAGAGAAGCAAAGGAGATGTGGGCGTGAGGTTCGGGCGTGCAACTTTATCTCCACACCACATGTTGATCATTTTAGAAATGACCCAAAACTGTATACAAGTCAGCTCAGCCAGTTTTTGGAGGACTGTGTGCTTACTTCTTGTTGTAAACATTCTTGATTAAGTACATTGAAGCACTTAACAAAATTCTTCTTTCTTTTTTTTCTTTCCAAAAATGAAAACGACGGTTATATATAGTCACTATGCCTGTAGTCAAAAAGAGGTTATTGAAATCAATTGGTTAAGATCCATTGAGTAGATTCTTACGCTTATTTGAAAAATGTCAATAAAAAGATCAAACTTTATTTATTGGGATTAAGAACAGTTGGGCTGGGAGGAAAGAGGGTCGAAGGAAAATGAAGTATCCTAAGTGTTTGTTCTAAGTTCGGATTGGAGGAAGAATTCGGAGATAAAAATAAGAGAGTTGAAAGAAGAATTGACCTTCTTAATTAGAGGGAGTGAAGGGATATTTGTACACATTAATTCGGACTAAATGATCAAAATAATCTTTATTCAATTGTCAGCAACTTTTTTAAAATAAAAAACAATTATGCCCTTATAATAAAAAAATATCCCTAACAATATTTACCTAAAAATAATAGTATGAAAATTCAAACAAAAGTTGAGTCGAGGTGTTTGACTTATATTAAGTTTGGTTGATTTATTAGAATTTAAGGATATATTAAGTTTAACTTTAAAATGTCGATTTTATTATCTAATTTTTTAGTCACATGAGTGATTTGAGAAAGCGGTGCGATGGGATGTTATTTTATTATTTATTTAATGTGAATGATTATTGGGATCCCAATAATGGTTTAACTTTACTTGCTATTTGGCCGAGGTTAATAAACGGTTAACTCGTGGCTTTTAGGTTATTTAAGTTAGTTACCCAATAACTGATATGACACTGAATAGTTTTTAATAATGAGATTCTAAATTCATTTTTGTTAAAGAGATTTATATCGAGGTGGATCTATGCTAAGGTGATTTATATCAAAATGAATTTGTGTTGAGTTGTTTTATATCAAGATGAATTTATACCGAAGTGATTTACACAAAGATGAATATATGCTGAGATGATTTTCATCGAGGTGAATTTATGTCAAGGTGATTTATATTGAAGTGAATTTAGTGAATTTAAACTCTCATAAAGATAATTTTATTAAGTGAAGCTTTATTGAAAGAAAATTTATAAATGTGAGCTCTATTACCAAGTTAAGCAATTAGGTTAAGTTGAGCTTTTTTAGTTGATTTGAGCTTTTTGGCTAAACTAATTTTTTATTAAGAAATTGTAGCAAAATTGCTACTTTATCAATGAAATTTGTTCGGGTTGAGTTCTTTTGGCTGGGTTAATCTCTTTTAATCGAGTTAAGTTCTTTTGGTTGAGTTAGTCTTAAAAAAATACTACAAAGTTGATTATCAATGAGATTTGGTCAAGCTGGCAAAGCTAATATTTTATTAATGAATTTTGACTGAATTGAGTTCTTTTGGTTGATTTAACCATTTATAAAGGAAATTTGGTAGAGTTAATATTTTATCTAAAAAAATTGATCGAACTGAGATTTTTTAATTGTCTTGAGCTCTTTTAACCGAGCTAATCATTAAGCCTTTTTGGTCGAATTGATCTTTTACAAAGAAAATTCAGTCGAGTTAAGCTTTTTTATCGAGTTGAGCTATTTTAGTCAAACTGATCTTTTTGACCAGAATGACCAAGCTAAATCTTTATGAAAGTAATATATCGAGATGAACTAATTGACCAAAGTGATCAAACTAAGCTTTTACGAAAAAAATTTACCAAGATGAGTTCTTTGGTCAAAGTGATCGAGTTAAGCTTTTATGAAGATATTTTACTAAGATGAACTCTTTGGTTGAAGTGATCAAGCTAAACCTTTATGAAAGTATTTTATCAAGATAAGCTATTTGATCGAGGTGACTGTGTTAAGTTTTTATGAAAGCAATTTACCAAGATCAGCTTTTTGGGTGAGGTGATCAAGCTAAGCCTTTACAAAGGTAATTTACTAAAACAAGCTTTTTTCGTCTAGTTGAGTTTAAGCTCATTGGTCAAGCTATTTTATCGAATTAGGCCTTTATGAAGGTATTTTATAGATCTAAGCTTTTTTGATTGAGCGAAGATTAAGCTCTTTGGTCGAACTATTTTGTTGAGTTGAAACTTTATGAAAGCATTTTGTATATCCGAGTTCTTTTGGTTAAGTTGAGTTCAAATTTTTTGGCTAAGCTGTTTTATTGAGTTTGATCTTTATGAAGATATTTTGTAGATCCGAGCTCTTTTAGTCAAGCAGAGTTCGAGTTTTTAAGTCGAGTTGTTTTGTTGAGTTGGACTTTTATGATAGTATTTTGTAAATTCAAGATCTTTTGACACAGCTGAATTCGAGTTCTTCAGTTAAGCTATTTTGTCGATGTAGACATTTATGAAGGCATTTTATAGATCTGAGCTCTTTTGGCTAAGCTGAGTTTGAGCTTTTGGTCGAGTTAATTTGTTGAGTTGAGCTTTTATGAATGTATTTTATAGATCTGAACTCTTTTGATTGAGTTAATTTTGAACTTTTAAGTTGAGTTATTTTGTCAAGTTGAATCTTTCTGAAGTTGATATGCAAATAGGGCTAAGCGGAGTCCAAATTTTTTGATTGAGTTGAGTTTGAGCTCTTTAGACAAATTGAGTCCATGCTCTTTTGGTCAATTTGGGTTCAAACTCATTGGTCGAGTTGAGTTCAAGCTCTTTAGCCTAGTTGGGCTTGAACTTTTTGACTGAACTAGGTTAGAGCTCTTTTACTTTTTCGTGGTGTCATTTTAAAATTAACTAAAAATTTTTTTATTTGGTATGCTATTTGTTTGTATTAAATTTGGATTAAAAGAAGAGCTAAGAGATAATAATGAAAAAGTTGGGGAGAAAAACTCTAAGAAAAGAATGAGAGAGTTCAAAAAATCATTCATCCCCTTAATTATAGGAAGTGAAGGGTATTTATACGCGTTAATTTAGATTAAATGATCAAAATATCTCTTATTTAATTGTGAGCCATTTTCTTGAAGTAAAAGAAAATTATGCTTTTTTTAACTCAAAAATGTCCCTAACACCAAGCATACTTGAAATTGAAGTCACTTGACTCGCGGAGCCACAGGCTAGCTGGCCATCGGTAATGAGGCATTCTCCACCCGATTTGGCCAAAACGAAGAATCTATGATTTCCATCGGCAGCTGTATGCAGACCTAAGCTTTTTGGTCGCATTCATTAGACCAAACACCCTACCCCACCATTACCCCCATCATCAATGGACAATGATTCCTTAATCGACAATTATACTTCATTTTTGAAAAGTCCAAAAAGCCCCTGCAACAATTGCCATAATCCAACCTGTATCAAGGATATGTCCGTATTTTCAAGACCGCGACCTTTGCGTTTTGTCCCACTTACATTTTTCTCACTCATGTAAGGCTTACATTTTTCTCATTTCCATATAGGGTTTTTGTTATTCAACCCTAACCCCCAAATCCTCCCCCCATAATCACCTTTGTTCAATTCTATACCTTTTAATGGCTGCTGCTGTTGCGTCTCCGGTTTGTATAAACGAGACATTGACTGACGATGAGCTGAGATCGATACTGTCAAGGCTGGAAAGTGATAAGGACAAGGAAGTATTCGGTCTGGTCTGCAAGAGATGGCTGCAACTACAGAGTGCCGAGAGGAAGAAGCTCTCCGCTCGTGCGGGACCACACCTGCTCAGCAAGATGGCAGAGAGGTTCACACGTGTGCTGGAGCTGGACCTCTCTCAGTCGGTTTCCAGGTCTTTTTATCCTGGGTTTTACTGACTCTGATCTTGCCCTTATTGCTGAAGGTTTCAAGTGCTTGAAGGTGCTCAATTTGCAGAATTGTAAAGGTAGAAGTGTTTGCCTTTGGTTTTATTCTGATGGGTATTTCTTTGTTTTGGTTGGAAATGTTCCTTTTTTTTTTTGTTTTGGAAAGCTTCCTTTTTTATATACAATAATTTAAAACTTTGGTAGCTTTCATGGTTTCATTTTTGTTACTAAAAGCGTGTATTTCTTAACGGATTGCTTGATAGTTCCAATTTGCGGAATTATAAAGATGTTTGGTTTTGATTCTGTTTTAATGGGTGTGTCTCTGTTTCGTCTTGGTATATGTGTGGCAATTGCTTATATAATTTTGCTTTGTAACTTATCTATGTTATATTCTGAACGGGGGTAATTTTGCATGCGTCCTCTTTTTATGACAGCTATAACGGATAGAGGATTGGCATCGGTTGGTGGTGGTCTTTCTTCCCTTCAGTCATTGGATGTATCACATTGCAGAAAGTTAACAGACAAGGGACTGTCAGCTGTTGCCGAGGGCTGTCATGACCTGAGGAGCCTGCATCTTGCTGGCTGCAGATTTGTCACTGATGGATTATTACTAACTCTTTCTAGGAATTGTAACAATCTAGTAGAGTTGGGCCTGCAGGGATGCACCAACATAACTGACTCTGGACTGGCAGATCTTGTAAATGGTTGTCAACATATTAGGTTTTTAGACATTAATAAGTGCAGTAATGTTGGGGACATTGGGATTTCCAAGGTTGCTGAGGCTTGTTCATCTTCTCTTAAGACACTGAAGATTTTGGACTGTTACAAAGTGGGAGATGAGTCAATATTCTCCTTATCCAAATTCTGTAAAAATCTTGAAACTCTTATAATTGGTGGTTGCCGGGATGTGTCTGATGAGTCTGTAAAGTCATTAGCTGCAGCATGTAAAAATAGTCTGAGGAATTTGCGGATGGATTGGTGCTTAAACATTTCTGACTCTTCATTGAGCTGCATTCTTACTCAATGCAAAAACTTAGAGGCGCTTGACATTGGATGCTGTGAGGAGGTGACAGATGCTGCTTTTCAGGATTTAAGGAATGGTAAAATTGAGTTTGGCTTGAAGGTTTTGAAGGTTAGTAACTGTCCAAAGATTACAGTGTCAGGAATAGGAATGCTTTTGAATCAATGCAATTCTCTGGAATACCTTGATGTTAGGTCCTGCCCTCGTGTAACTAAGGCAGGTTGCGATGAAGCTGGATTAATGTTCCCCGAGTATTGTAAAGTGAACTTCACAGGAAGTTTAAGTGAACCAGATGTCCTTGTTTAAGATCCCGACAGTTTGAACCATTTAGTACTCAGGGAGGATGCTGTCCTAAAAGTTACAAGCATTTGACCAGGATTCAAAGCCAGTGGAAGTACTATAGCAGGTGAGGGCTTT